TTTATTTTGTTACTATTAAAAAATTATTACTAATAAAGATATGAGCAAGGTCTCACCTTAAAACCAAAAAAAAAAATGTTTAAGTGTACATAATTAATAGTACAGTCAAACCCCTCTATAGTCACACCTTTGGGATACAAAAATCTGTAATTATAAAGAGGTGTGATTAATATAGAGACATTTTTTATATAATTATAAACAATTAATAAAAATAAATTTGTAATTGTATTAATTTGTGACTATAGAGAAGGTGACTATAGAGAGGGTTGACTGTATATGTATATAAATAGTTTTTTTAAAGCAGGTTATGAAACCCAGTTTACGTATGTATTTCCAAACAGGGTTTGAACGGGTTTCAAAGCACAAATTAGCAGATTTAAGCAGGATAACATCCCTAATTTATAAGCTTAATTTTAAACTTTCAAAAATATATTATTTTATTATTTGAGTGCCGCCAAGGGAAAATGTCTCTCTGTAAATTATAGTATATTATTGATTATTTATCTGATTCAGTTCTTCTGATCAATGACGCATCGGGCTTCAAAATTTGTGCTTTATTGTATGTACATATAATTATTTTTTAGTTGATATGTTATATAATTAAAAGTCCGATGTATCATTGATCAGAAGCGCTGAATCAGATAAATAATCTATAATATACTATAATTTACAGAGGGACATTTTCCCTTGGCGGCACTCATTTAACATACAAAATTATTTTTATTATAATGTACACATAATATTTTGTTCTTTTTTCAGATCTTCTGTTTCTATTTACGAGACAAAAAAAGGATAATCTTGAGATTTGATCATCAGATAGAAAGGGTTGTGAAAAATATAATAAGAGAATAACAAAAAAAAATTATATACAATAAAAAATTTATATTTATTTTGGTAATTTTGTAATAATTATTAAATGTAATATACTTTAATAGATAAATCATGTCTGAATGTATAAAAAATAATGATAAATTTTGAAAAGTTAATATGGCTTTTCTATAAGGTTCGAATGCAGCTAGCTTAAAATGAAAATTTTTTTATACTAAGTAAACTTTCCAACGAATACTATAGAAGCGTTATTCTGATTTTAATAACGGTAGAATTATTCAAATCGCTTTTGTAGATGGCAAGTAACTTACATTTTCCCTTTATAACTATATAATGGTTACATATTGCTAGGAACTTTTGGTATTCCAACATTATATAAAATAATAATTCGCTGCTGATTATTGCTATGAAATTTATACCCTTTAAGTGCGATATACCACTTAAACTATCATTATGTCAATCGATTACGATTTCATATTTGGCACAATTTAAATTGCTTTTAGCGTATTAACTTGGGAACTTAGGTTAAATTTGGAATTTCGTTTCAGCTTAAGTAGATTTTAAATTTCTAATGTTCTCTTCCAAAATAAGTAGATTGAAATATGGTACATGTTATAATAAATTTTAGTATAAAAAATTGATTTGTGATTTTATTGGTCGACTTGTAGATCACGTTTGGGAATTTCCCACGATTAAAGTTTTAAATTCAAATGGCCTTAGTTGATTTATAACATCAAATTAGTTAAATACTATTATTAGACAAAATGTCCAAAATGGTAAGAACCTCAAGAAAAATAAATAAAGCCTGACAATATTGAGTTAGATTGAGGCTCAATAATATTATAATAATTAATCGAATAACATAAAGCATGAAACCATTTTTTATAATCCTAGATTTTGTTATATCATTTGTTTATGATTATTACCGTAATAGAAGTAAGCCTATATATATACAGACGAAAGTAATGGTTAATTCTTACATTTTTATATATATAATTCAGTGAATATTATTATCATGATTATTATTATCACTCCTTCCCTTTCTATTTCTTTTTTATCTTATTTAGTTTTTCCAAATACCACAAATACATTCTAAAGCACCACTAAATATGTCTCGCAAGGACTCATTATCTAAAAACATTTTATTAGAGTCATGCTTTCACGTACACAGGTAAAACTATAAACCTTTTCCAAATGTGTTATATTAGAAAATTTTATTAATAATAGTAAGTTATTCAGCAATAATCACAATTAAAAAAAACTATTAGAATAGTATTAGAAAACCTTCATATTTATCATCAAATCAAAATATGAATATATATAACAAGTTTTTATAAAACAAATAGAAAACATTTAAAAAACTAATAAAAAACTTTAAGAAATATGTCATACGCACCGGGTTTTGCAGTGCAGAGGCCATGATGACAGATAAATAAGTAATTTAGAGTTTATTTTTAACAATTGGTAGTATATTGCATAGTAAAAAAAAATTAAATAAAGAGGATATTTGATCAGTATATGATCGAACTTTACTCTTTTATTTCTTGCACTTGTATCGAATAAATCCAATAGTATAGAGGAGATTAGGTGCGAAAAAACTTTTAAATAAACATAGCCAATGCAAAATTTATAAATTGCAAATATTTAATAAACTTTTTAGTAGGCATACTTTTTTTATCTTATATTACCTATATTTTTCGCAATGCCTAAGTGCGATTGTCCAAAATGCCAACCGTTAGGTGGTAAAATTTTATTATAGAGAACTTGGCGACAACATCAAAAAAATAATAATACTCGCTATACGTTTTCTAAGCAGACTCTATCTAATTCAGCTTCTTTAGCCAATAAAAAACCAATAAGACCCAACACACAAAGTAATTATTCAGATAAATGGAAAAATGAAACAGATTATGTTGACAATGAAAATGCAATAGATTATTTTGATGAGAATGAAATGAATAATTTTGACGAGAATGAAACAGATGATTTTGACATTGCACAGTTAGATAAATTCAACAAAAATGGCATGAACATAGTAGAATTATCTTCACGTATGGAAATGGTAGAAAATATCGCACAGTTACAAGAATGTAGTAAGGTATAATTAAAAGGTTTATTTTTAAATATTTATGAAAAATTTCTTATAATACTTATAAATAAATAAATAGCTAGCAACAAATAGAAGTTCTTGTAAATCAAAGAGATCGTCATTAATACTATTAGATAATTAGGGTAGCTGCGCAGCGTGTGATGCGGCGCAGGACCAGTACGATCACTTACGCTGTTGTGAAAAGCTCAAGGAAATCAATTTACCTATTCTCTTTTTTTTTTTTTTCTTCTATTATTAGTTTCAGTTTTTT